CCCCCCCGCACCTCCCCAAACCCCACCCCCTAGCCCCAAATATAATCCACTCTACAACCCTCATTGCATACTCCTACGATAAAAATATTTATAACCTCAGAAACCCTATGAAGGACGTTATGAGTCTGAATCGACTTTATGGCAGTGAGTTATTGTTATGTGCCATCGAGTTAACTACAACTCATAGCAACCCTATCCAGAGCCAGTCTGTCTCTGACACACCTGCCCCTATTACCACAGTCACTGTGTCAATCCATCTCATCCAGGATCTTCTTCTCCTGCACTGACCTTCTACCCTTCCTGTATGATTTAGTGTCTGAAAATCCACTGGAGAGTAAGCTATTAGATTAAAATGGCAAAGTCGCTGCATAAAAAGGTCAGCATAGCATGACCAAGGCAAAGGAAGACGCTAAGAGGTCTACAAACGAAAAAGTCAGTTATGACATCCTGCAACAACAGTCATAAACAGTAATTTACTACTGGATACATAGGTAGATAAGTAATTCATATACATATGAAGCTCTAGTGCATATGCATTGCACTGGTAACCTAAAGGTCATGCCTGTCTTGCAGTTCAAATCCACCAGCTATTCCTTGGGGAAAAAAAGATGGGCAATCTCCCAAGTGATTTACAGTCTCACAAAACCACTGAAAGTCAGCTATAAGTCAGTTCTGATTCCAGTAGCAATGAGTTTTATAGTTTTAAATACATCTATCTTGTTGTTGAGTCAGTTCCACTCATAGTAACCATCAGGTTTCCCAGGTCATAAATTTCAACGAGAGGATGCTGTCCAGCTTTCTCCCACAGAACCAGTGGTGGCTTTGAACTACTAAAAGGGCAGCCTTTTATTTATATCGATAAGAGAGAACTCTGCATAATCCTGTGAACAATAGATCTGAACCCTGTCCTGTCCTGTGCCATCCTCACAATTTCTGACACACTTGAGCCCATTGCAGCAGTCACTATGTCAGTCCACCTGGTTGAGAGTCTTCCACTTGCGGTCTCTCCACCTTCTTAAGCATGATGGACCTTTACAGGAAACAACTCTCCTAGCAAAATGCCAAAAGTTTGTGAGATGAAGCTTTATCATCTTTGTCTCTAAGGAATGTGCTGGCTATACCTTCTCTAAGGTGACCTGCCACCAATAAACTGGTGGCTCCACCAGCTGCCCCACAGGAGAAAGATGCGTCATCTCTTCCAGTGTAATTAACTGCCTCTGAAAACCCACTGGAGGGTCAGCTATGGGTCAGTTCTAACTCAATAGATAGGTATGTATGTTGTTGTTGTTGCTATGTGCTCTCGAGTTGCTTGAGACTCATAGAGACCCTATGTACAACAGCTCTGAACCCTGTTCTGTTTTGAGCCAACCTCGTCTCTGACACACCCATTACCCAAGTCACTAAATCAATCTATCTCATCCAGGCTTTTCCTCTCTTGTGCTATCCCTCCATCCTTCCAAGCATGATGTTCCTCTCTAAGTACTGGTCCCTCCTTGCAGCATGCCCAAAATATGTCAAAATCCTTGCCTCCAAAGAGCAGCCTGGTTTCACCCTCTCTATGACGATCCTATTTGTTCTAGCAATCCATGGTATACTCAATACTCTTCACCAGCACCACAGCTCAAAGAACATCAGTTCTGTCATCCTTAGTCACTGACCAACTTTCTGATGCATAGCAGGAAATTGTGAAGACCATGGCCTGGATCAGGCCCACCTTTATCTCTAGACGGACATCGTTGCTCTTCAGTACTTTGGTGAGGTCCCTGAGAGCAGATTTCCCTAGTGCAATTTGTCTTTTGATTTCCTGGCTGCTGGCACCAAGGATGTTGATTGTGGAGCCAAGCAACTGGAATTGTTTCCAATCTCAATCTCTTCACCGTCTATCATGATGCTTCCAGTCAGCCAAGTGGCAAGAATCTTTGCTTTCTTTTAATTGTAGTGTTTTGTGTTTTTTTGTTTTTTTTAAAAAAATTATTTTCTACTAGTTTGCTTATAAGTTCATCTATGTTGTTTTTCACAACAGATCTTTCCCATTTCTTTTACCCATCCCTCCTCCTACCCATCGAATTGTACAACCCTATAATTAAACCCCCTGCCCTTCCTCAACCCTCTGCTCCTACCCTTTATCCTCATATGTTGTTGTTATGTGCCATCGAGTCGTTTGCAACTCATAGCAACCCTATGTACAACAGCCCTAAACCCTGCTCTATCCTGTGCCAATCGCATTGCCTCTGACACACCCATCCCGATTACCCCAG